TCAATATTATATTGCTTCAAATTTCTTCCATTGTCTTTCAGAGACACCTTTTGTTCATCACAGGCATAGGACTCTTAGTAATAATTTGCAATAAAAACAAACTTTGTGCAAGAATTATATTGGGAGTAAAGGAAGTCTTAGATGTCTGACATTTGTACACTTCAAAACTGAAGATTATAAACATGTCGGTATGACTGGGATGGGAGGGGGAGAGAGATGAGAAGGAGCTGTGTGGGTTTATTGCAGCACCCTATAAAAGGCTTGGAAGAAATACACACTCTTCCATAAACCTGGTAGTCTCTTTCAGTTGGGAGGCAGTCATGACCGTAGCACCTGGCAAAGGCTCAATAAACATTAATTTTGTGGTTAAGACTCTGTCTGTAGAGACAGACTTACCTGGGTTCTAATCTGGCTACATTTCTTGCTAGTTAGTTATCTGAACTATCCGTGCTTCTGCTTCTCCATCCAGAAGAAGAAAGAGGATCACATTCCATAAAGTTACTTATTATGAAATTTATTCAAGTGTATGGTATTATTTGCTTTTCTATTTCCAAGACAGTTGACAAACAACATCGGCCATAACTCCATTAAAATGTTGGTGGTAATGATGTTTATAATTTGATGTCTGCACTTGCCTGGCTTGTTTAGAAATGGTACAACATGGTACAACACAATTCTCTACCCCAGAAAAATGATTTAAAAGCACCTCAAAATACATTGGAATACATAGTTATGAGCATGTGTAAAATCTATAAGGCAAAATGTTATACTTGTTTCTCCAAAACAACAATATGATTCCACACTCCAATGGCTCTAAACTCAATGCCCACCACCAAGATTGTACCAGTACATGTGAATGAGGCCAACTCACTGTACAACCTGAATAAAGACACATGCATGGCTAGTCTGCCAGCATCTAACTTTTGAAGGGACTCCAGAAACTGGGATTGCTTTTTTTTTTTTTTTTTTTTTTTTTTTAATGTGACATTTTCAATTTAATATTTTTGGCTCAATATATTTCTTGGTACAAAACACTGTGGGTCAAACAACACACTTGAGGGCCATTTTTTTTTTTTTTTAATCTTTGCCAATTATACTAGTACCTACATAGGAGTACAGTGTGCTGTTATTTATATCAGCATATGCTTTTCAAGCACTTATGCCAAGGCAAGGATGCAAGGTGAGGAAGACAAAATATGACCAAGTCTTCACAAAACTCTCAAGTCTAATGGGGAGATAGGCAATATTGTCACGGGACAGAGTGAAAAATGCCACAGCAGAGTGTGGAAGCCAGGACTTCAGGCTTTATGTATTGGATCAGGCCCATTATAAAAAACCATAAACAAAGAAACCCATTATTTGAAAGCTTGGCAAATGGTGATACCCTAGTAGGTGGCTCTTTTGTTTAACAAAACACCTTAATGGATTTTGGGAGTGGGAGCTATGCATGGAGGAGCTATGCATAGAAATGGCCACAACCTTGCACAGTTCCAGGGGGACCATTCCTATTGTGGCCTCTGCAATCGGCACCCCCTTGAGTGCCACTCAGGTTATAGTCTTTGTGAATGGTATCCCCCAGAATTGTGCTACCTGGATGACTCGGTCAATAAACATAGGACTGGAATCTGGCCTGAGTGAAGATTGAGAGCTAAATTCTTCAACATAGTAAAGTAAGAGGAGGAAAAAAAATAAAGTAAAGGAATTTTAAGTCTTTACCTAGTGGGTAGAGGCAGGAGGGTGGAGGGGTGCCTTTAGTAGGAAGAAAAAAAGGGTTTGGAGAAAACATTTCTAGGATGAGGATGGGCCAGCAATTTACCTGGAGCCTATGAACCTGGTGAGAGAGTCCCTGTAATTTTGAAAAGCGAAAAGTGACGCATGAAATCATCTGTCATCTTCTCAAACCTTCAAAAGACACTGACAAATGAAGTCAAACAACTTTTCTTTGGCATCAGGTACAGCCTTCGGACCTCTTATGCATGCATGAGGAGATAACCAGGAAAGACGCAATGCTCAGGCTTACATAGCTACACTCAGCTAAACGTATGGTACAATGAGAACTTGCTCTTTTACTGCTTTTCTTCAAAAGGCTCAAAGCGCTTACAATTTTATTTCCTCATTTGTGCTGACATTCCAGTGTGGGAGGGGCAGATTTATGATAACATTATTTATAGATGGAGAAATTGAAACAGAGATGAAATCGCTTACTCAGTGTTGCATAGTTGGGGTGGTGGAGTCCACACTGGAATTTGGTTCTCCAAGATCTTGCCACGAAGTGGAAAGATCATGAATTTTGGAATTAGAGGGATCTTTGTTTGAACAATCCTGATTTCTGCCCTTTAATAAGAATGTGGCCTTAAGTCAGTTACTTCATCTAAGTCTTAGTTTTTCCTCTTCTGTAAAATTAAGATCATAAAACCTCATGGCAGAGTAGAGAAGATTTAGAAAATGCATGCTAAGTCCTGGCCCAGAATAGTTCTCAAATAAGATTAGTTCCACCCCCAACCCAGTATTATCTGGTTGAATTTCAGTACAAATATAAAGTAACAACAACAAAAAAAGTCCCACATTAATACTAATTTGTTTTTCTAGCCTCATCTCCTATAGACAGCAAAACATGAATAAAAATCTGTCATTTAGTTCAATGGCAAGAACTGATAGATGAAATAGAGAAGGGGAAGAACTTTTGTTTCTGTAGAATTATTCCTATTCCAGGCAGTTAGAAAAAAAGAAAGAGGAGTATGTGGAAGACAAGAGAGTAAATGCAATGGTTCTAAACCTTGAGAATGTACCAGAATCACCTGGAAGGCCTGTTAAAACACAGATTTGTGGGCCCCACCCCAGAGTTTCTGATTCACAGGGTCTGAATGATTTGCCTTGGTAACAAGTTCACAGATGCTGCTGATGCTGGTAGTCCAAGGACTAGACCTCAGAGAAGCAATGGCACGGCTCTGTATAATTCCAGGGGTGGGGCCTTGCAATCTCTGTTTTACCGAGGCCTCCAGGTGATTCTGGTGCACTCTCAAATTTGAGAACCACTGGTACAGTGGTGAAAAGCATGAGGGGACAGACTCCCATTCAGATCCTGACTGCACCATTTACCAGTCAGATGACAAGGTTCAGTGACAAACCCGAGAAGGTCTGTGATTCAGGATTCCTCTCACTCTTCCTCTAAGCCCTTGGCCCTTGGTGGAAAGAGAAGTGAGTCCTGCCAACCCAGGCTCTGTTTTTTATTCCCTCACACTCGAAGGCACGAAAGGCTGCTTGAACTTGGGTATTAGGGAAGTATTTACAAACACGTCTGCGATCACAAAAATAAAATAAACAAATAAAGCCAACAGCAGAGGCATTGTTTGAGTTTTAAATTCCTAATAACGGTTGTAAAACATTTCCATTTCTTCTGCCCTTTGAAGTAGAAAATTAAAAAAAAAAAATCTTCCTCCCCCACAGTTTTAAGAGATGCTTGTAAGTTTGTTTTGCAGATAGTATGCATGCTAAGAGGGTTTATTCCCCCTCCCGCTCCCCACTCTCTGGCCTGAGATATAGACTCTGCCTCCGATGCCTTCCTGACTTGTGGCTGAGGAATCTCTTTTTTATTTATTTTTTCCCTGTGTTCCCTGCCTGGCAACCGGCTGTGGGTCCTCATACTGTCTTGGCTCATGGTGTCGCAAGCCTCCAGGCTGGCCACAGGACATTCTTTGGCTCACCTTCCTTCATTTTTCCCATTGCAAAAACCTCTGCTCTTTTATTTTCTTAACTAACTGTTTCTGTTGCCTACGGCTAATCTTACACAGTTTTCCGAATTTCTCCCTGTCAGAGTGACTCCCCTGGAAGAGAAATTGTTCCTGTGGAGGTATGAGAATCGTGCTTTTTTAATTCAGTCCTATATTGGCACTCGGTACCCTGAAGTGTTTATCATGCATGTTCACTTTGAATTCCAGCAACAATCCAGAGATGATTATATATGTATATACACACATACATACACATATCAGATGTATTACAAATGAAGAAACGGAGGCGTAGGGAGGTCAAGCCACGTGCCCAGGGTGAAAGAGTGAAGGCAAGTGCCAGGACCCAGGCCTGGAGAGGCCTGCGCCCCCAGCTCTCGGCCTCCGTCCAAGCTCCAAGCGGTGATGGACATAATTTAGGTGCCCGCACTTAAAAGAATTAAACAATCTTATTAGGGGTAGCTGAGCAGGTTAAAAACCAAGCGCCAATGTTTGTGGTGTTGAGTTTGGCATCTTTCGCCAGTTTCCTCTTCTGCAAGATGTGTGCCCCCTCTCCAGGGGCATGGGGATGATGAACTGAGTTCAGCACCTGAAGCGCTCCACAGGGCACCTACCGGGTAGTAAGCCGTCAATTAAAGTTAGCTACCATTCTTTTAAAAATATATTTTATTGATTTTTTTACAGAGAGGAAGAGAGAGGGATAGAGAGTAACATCGAAGAGAGAATCATCGATCAGCTGCCTCTTGCACCCCCTCCCCCACCATGTGCCCACAACCAATGTACATGCCCTTGACGGAATCGAACCGGGATCTTTCAGTCCACAGGCTGATGCTCTATCCACTGAGCCAAACCGGTTTTGGCAAAAGTTAGCTACCATTCTTTTTAAAAGAGGCCGATTGGCGTGGAGAGAGCATTCGAAAGAGCAGAGCTAAGGCCCGGTGTAGGCGCTGGACCCTCGTCACCAAAATTCTTTGAGCCTCAGTTTCCTCCCGCGTAAAACGAGGTGGATGGATGGGAACCCGAAAAGCAGCGGTCGCCTGGGGACCACGGGGCCGCGGGGCAGAAAGGGTTACCGTGGAGTCGGGGCTGCGGGGGGCGGGCGGGGGGGTGTGAGGGGATGGGGTAGGTTGGAGGGGGAGGTAGAGGGGGAAAAAGGGGAGAAGAAGAGGCCCCGCCCCGCCTGGGAGGACCCCCGCCGCTCCCGCCCGCGAGCAGTTCCGGTGCCAAGCCCGGCCCTCCCCGCTCCCCCGGAAGTGCTTCTCCGGGGTTCGGGCCGGAGAGAGGCCTGGTAGGCACAGCCGCGGAGGCTCCATCGCTTCCCATTAGGCGCTCCTGCCCGGATCGGAGCCCGCGGGTCCGCGCCCGCCGCCCCGCGCCCTGCCCGCTCCCAGCGCCGGAGCCCACGGTGAGTGGCCGGGGGGCCGCCCGGGGGGCTGCGGGCCGTGTCGGGCCGGCGCTCCCGGGACCCCGCTGCCCGCTCCGGGCTCCGGGCGCCCGGCCGGGGTGGGCTGGGCTGTCGGGGTTCGGCGGAGCGGGTCGTCGCCCGCCGCGGTCTCGGCCCAGCCCGCCGGCCGGGAGGGAGCGGGCCTGGGCCGCGGGGTGGGCGGGGCGGAGCCGGGACCGGGTTCCCGGAGCTGTTGTTGCCGCCGGGACCGGAGAGTGGGAATGGGCCGGGCCTCGGTCCGTCCGAGCCCCCTCTTTTCTGCTCCCCCGAGTCTCCGCACCGCCTCCCAGATTCGGCCTCCCGTGCCCCACCCGGGCGGGGCTGGGGACCCGGACACCGGACTTAGTCTTGGGACCCAGGTCCCGACATTTTCGTCTCCTGGGACCGCCTTCGGGCTGGTTTTTTCAGCCCGGGTCGCTGAGGTGGTGTCTCCTCCTCGGCCCCAGGGCGGGGCGATGCGGGTGTCGGTGCCCGAGGTCTCTCTCTGCTTCCCCGCCCGCCGCGCCCGCGGGCTGCCCGGATCGGCGCGGACCGCGCTCGGGACCGGTTCTGGGTCGGTCCGTGTGGCCCCGGCGTGCCTCCCACCATCTCTAGTGACCGGAGAGCTTGCCCAAGCTATTGTTCAAGTCGCTTTCTCTTAAAACAAACAACTCGAGGGAAAATCCGTTCAGATACGTCTCCTTGTTTTCTTGCAGACGTACCAAATGAAGCTATTCTCTAATCTGTGTTCCTAATCCCCGTGGCTGTTTGAAGTTACGGTTGTGTAATGAGTTCAGCCTGCGGTGGTTGCACGAATGGATTGCAGAGGCTTGGAGAATTTATTAGTCTCTCTCTCTCTCCCCCGAAGTTTGTATGTACTTCATGTTTGGAGCTGTCATTTTTCCATGACTTCTAAAGAAGAATGGTTTCTCGGTAACTCCTGAGAGGTTCCCTGTCCTGTTACAGCTGTTGTACCAATGCAGAGTGCACGCTGATGGGCACAGGTGATTCGTTTATTTATTTACTTATTTATTTAAGAGACTTATGAAGTGTGTAGCGCAGATAAAATTGAGGACTTCCTAAAGAAAAAAGTAAAGTAGGTATCTTTAATGCATAGATTTCAGGAAATAAACCGATGAAAGGTTTGTAGGAAATAAGGGTTTTCTACATTTAACAGTGGTTCTTTTCAGTTATGATCATAAGGGAATGTAGTTACTGCAGATTATGACTATCAGCAGATGACCAGTGTTTTTGCAGTGTAAAGTGTGCACAAGCCACCTTTGTGCAGCAAGCGACACTTCCCTGCATTTTCACCTGGTGCTTGTATTACGGTAGGCTTATTCTGTAGTTATTTGGGTACTTAGCTCGTTCTCCTCCCACCACTGACAGGGGAGGCAATTTGAATTAGGGAGAACAGGCTGAAGTAACAAGTTCAGTGAGCTCTCCTTTGCAAAATAAAATTTATTTCAGGATTGTTGCTCTTCAGCAGGCAGAGGGTGGATAGATGCTTTTTTAATTTCCTAGAAAAGATTGTGGAGGAAAGGTTAGTTGACTGACATTTACATTTAGATAGAAACTGTAGATTCTTAAGCATTTGAAGTGGTTACTTGTTTAGAGCTCACAGAGTATTATAAATGAGAGAAGCTGGAAAAGGAGTCAAGTTAGATATGGTCATGGATCCATACTGATGGTAGTTAATGTTTTGAAGGGAAATATTTCAAGAATTGTAATGGCAGAAAAAGATGCTTGGGAAAATCAGATACCCTTAGGCACTGGAAATTTTATTGTATTCAAGTCTATTCAGTAGATACTGAACATTTGCACTGTAAATTATATTTTTCAAGTAAATTCAACTGATATTGAACATTTGCTATGTTAGACATCCATGTACGAGCAAATAAAGATACAGCCCTAACAACTAAGAGTCATGTTTTAGTAATACTTTTCTATAATATGATGTGTCAGAAGTAATGAAGAGATGAATTGTATTGTTTAAGCATGTTAAGCAATTTTTCTAATTGCTGGTGGTAGTGTGTGCTTGATGAAAAGCATTATTAGGCTTTATAGGGTACAGAGATGAAATCTCCAGTCTTTAGGAATTTGAAATTTATGAGGGGATGTAAGATATTTGCATAAACATTTATTACATAAAAATATGTACATGTATAGGTTTGATGTAAAGTTTGCAGTTGTTTGAAAGGAAAATGGGCTCATTTTTAGCTGGAGTAATTATGGAGAGTAGTGGAGGTATAGTAATACTTCTGAAATTAACTCTTAAACTATTATTTATTGAGCACTAAGTGAGCATCAGGCTTTCTGCTAATTGGGGACTATGTACCTAGCAGGTAACTGAGCCCTAATTTGAATCCAGATCTGCCTGATGCCACGCCTGTGTGTGTTTCCACTACATCATGCTACCTTCCAATAATCTGGTAACCTGAGTTCAACATTACAGAGGGTAAGACTTTTCTAAGACAAAAATTTGTGTGTTGGGAATAGGAGGATAAAGAAGTCTTTTCCAGTAAAGGGAATGATGTGAGCACAAGTGTGGAGGAGGGAACGGTCCTATGATTGAGTCCGGTGTCCAGGTCCCCAGCCCCACCCAATGGTATACAAGTTCATTGTGTACTCAGAGAAAAGTTAGTGGACCAGGTTCATTTTGGGGAATAAGAGTTGAGGTTTGAAATTTATTTATTTTTTAAAATATATTTTCATTGATTTCAGAGAGGAAAGGAGAGGGAGAGAGAGAAATAAACATCAATGATGAAAGAATCATTGATTGGCTGCCTCCTGCACACCCCACTCTGAGGATGGAGCTCCCAACCTTGGCATATTCCCTGACCGGGAATCAAACCGTGATCTCCTGGTTAATAGGTCGATGCTCAACCTCTGAGCCACACCAGTCAGGCTGAGGTTTGAAATTTAATTTGGAGCTGGAATATGTTTAAATGCTGTACTTAGGAGTTCAACATTTGGGAGGTAATGAGAAACTTCTAAAGTCTAAAAGTGTAGTGTGTAGAATTTTTTTGTTGTGGAAAGCTGACTTTCAATATATGGAGTTGAGCCTTGAAAATATGGGTTGCAATTGCGTGGTATCATTTATATGCAATAAATATATAGAGTACTGTAAATGAAAGTTCTTAACATTTTCTTTTCTCTAGTTTACTTTTTTGTTACAATTATTGTATTATTTTTCCATACAGTTGTGCATATGTAAAACAATTTATTCTTGTATTATTTATTATTTTCCATAAGAACAACTGTAAACCTACTTTTGCCCCACCCTTTATGTTAATCAGCTGTTTATATTATTGATAACATTTTTGATCAACAGGCTATTAAGATTTTGGGGAGTCAAAAGTTACAAATGGTTTTTCAACTTTTGGGGATTTGTTGGTACCCTTAACCTCCACATTGCTCAAGGATCGACAGTAGTATAAATACTGGGCAAGCGTCATGGCATTGGGATGATTTAGTAGGTGGTAGAAGGAAGGATTGTTGGGAAAGGTTTGGAGGAAGTTGAAGGCCATACTTATTTTAAATGTGAGTGATGGCAATGGTGGTGCTAGTAGTAGAAATATGGGAAAGGAGATGCTTAATGAGATTAGTTTTGAATATGTTGAATATGCTTTTTATATACTTGCCAAACATGGGGAATGCCCAGAGGCTTTTGTAAAAGTGGGTTTGTAGTTAATGCTAGAGGGCAGTTCTAGGCATATATTAAATGTGTGTAGAAAATAATACATGTGCTTGTTGAGTCTGTATAAGGAGTTAGTTGAAAGCAGGGAGAGTTTAGGGGAAAGAAAAAATTCTCTTAGATGGTATCTGTTTAAAACAGCAGGAAAAGACACTAGATAATTTTATATTGTGGGTAACATATGTGGTAATCTGTGTACTGCTCCCTCCTATTGCAGATTCAGATAGGATAGAAAAAATCTGGTTATTAAAAATTCAAGTGGGGCCCTGGCCGGGTTCTCAGTTGGTCAGAGCGTCATCCCAATATGCCAAGGTTGTGGGTTCGATCCGGAGTATAATAACAAATCGATCTCTTTCTCTCTCTCTCTTATAAAAAAAAAATAATAAAAAAAGGAAAAATCCAATTTGGAATAAAAATTCATTGCTATTGCTTTCAATGCTATCATTGCCCTATTTCAGGGAGGACAAACTATTTCACACCCATTTGGTCCAGGCTATCAAACTTTGGTCACTTAAGACTTGTTTGGTTGTTTGTTTTGGCCATTTGCTGGCAAGTGATATGTGAGGATTTGGAAGCAAATCTCTGATAATGGTATTCTGTTTATTTATATGTATGACTTTCGGTTTTGGTTTTAATACCAAGAACCTCTAAATATTCGAAGATAATTTCTGTACCTTCTATTACTACTGGCTGCTAATCGTGCCTTTCATAGAAAATGGCATTTAGTTACATATTTTTTCTTCTAATTCTTTAGTACTTTTGATTAACATGAGTGGCTTTGTCTCTAATATTCTCATATCTTAGAGGGAAAGAATGATAAGATACTTTTAACCATCATGTAATGATAAATATGTATAGTCTTTTAATTTGGAAACTTTAAGAACTATGGAATTATAGAATTGTGTGGTTTTCTGTTTAGATATTTAAATAGGGGGAATCTGTATTAATGTATGGAAGACTGTAATACGTCTTCAGAATGAAGCTTACAGTTGTAACTTTTTGAGGGAAAGTTTTATTAATTTTAGACTGAGTTACCATGGAAGTGTTTATTTCCTTCTTGAAATTAATATGTTGTTTTGTTTTTCAGGAATATATTTTTCACTATATCACAGGCACATGGGAATACCCCGTGAGTCCTGTGTCAATGTTGTTGGAGGCAGGGGGTTTGTGTGCTTTGTCTGGGCTGGTTGGCTTAGTTGCAGTGAGCCTGGTATTAATGAGGCAAAGGTCAGGAGTTCCATTTAGCTTCAGTCTGAATGATGGCCAGGGAGTATACCTCTCACTCCCACCAGCTGCCTTGGAAATTCCTCGGTTGTCATTGGTCACAAAGGTGACTGGATTAGGGCGGTCTTTATAACACTGGAAGAATATTAGAGGAAACTTAGTATAATGGTTAGGAACTCTGATTCTGGAATTAGACAGGCCTGTGTCAAATTCTTGGTCTGTGACCTTGGGAGAATCCCTAAACCCCTCCAAGCCTCTATTTCCTCATTATTGAATATTTTGTTTGGGCATGCCCTACTGTTGCTTGCTTTCTTCACGTGGGAGTTAGTTGCTTAGACCTGTCATTCCCAAATGCTGTACTATGGAGTGGTGTCAGTCCATGACAACGTTTTCACTTGTCTGAAGTGAGAGTGAGAATGAGTTAGCTTCTCTGAAAGCTAAACCTATTGAATTTAAAATTTGTTTTTCTAAAATTATTTTTTACCATGTTTTGGTGTAAGCATATTCTTTTATGAAATAATGGTGATGGTAATTGGCAATTACTTTCTTTTTAAATGTCCTTGGCAAAATAAAGGTGGCACCTTTGATTTTTTTATTTGATTTTTTTAAGATTTTGGTTCTATGAAAATCTGATAATCTTGGTTTAAACAGAATCAGGGGTTGGGGGGAGAGTACTCATCCAACATATTTATGCATATTCAAGTTAGATTTGTGGTGGTCTGCCCTTTATTATGCTAAGGGACTATATTGTGCTTCTTACCACCGTTGAATTTAATTTTGTCAAGTTTTTACATTACTTACAGGACATTTCAAGGGATAGTTCAGATTGTTTTCAGTTGAGTTCAGACAAGTTGCTCCAAATTTCTTGTTGAGGGCTGTGTTTCTCAACAGAGTCCCAGGGGGTGAACTGGCTAACCATGGGCGCTGCCTGAGGGTGCTGCTGTAAGTCATTGCTTTGGTGATTAGCCAACAAGATAAATAACTTGCCTTTGACATAGTGGAGTAGTAGAAGCCGGCTTTCCTTTTTACCTCTTCTGCAGGAAAGATCCTTGAAGCTACAGCAAAAAAAGCTTTTTTTTTTTTTTTTTTTCAAATTTAGCATAGCAAGTAAATCTTGTACTACAAATATCAGTATTCAAAATACTTTCTAGAGAAAGAATAGTTCAGCACTTTGCATAATGGGTTATGTAAGTGGAGCCACAGGGGACACAGGCCAGTTATTAGCATAAGTGTTTATTGAAATTACATTCATTTGTCTAGCTGAGAAGTTTATTGTGACTCCCTGGTTCACTTAGAGGGTGTGTGTGTGGGGGGAATTTAAGGTGCAAACTTTGCCTAAGTGACTGTTAAGTTAAGACTTATTTGTTTCCTTTGAGTGTTTTGGTTAGGTAATTTTATTATTATTTTAAAATATATATTTTTTGATTTCAGAGAGGAAGAGAGAGGGAGAGAGAGACAGAAACATTAATGATGAGAGAGAACCATTGGTTGGCTGCCTCCTGTATGCTCCCTACTGGGAATCGAGCCTGCAACCCGGGCATGTGCCCCTACTGGAATTGAACCATGACTCCTGGTTTATAGGTTAATGCCCAACCATTGAGCCACACAGGCCAGTGCCTAAAATTTACTTTCATTACAAAAGTGTACAGTATAATATATGTACAATTTAAGTAGTTATAAAATGAACTACCACTCACCACTAATTAGCTTAGAACACTGCCAGCATCTTTGAAGCCCTTTATACTCGTCAGTATTTGTGTTTAATAATTCCCCATTCCCCCTTCCACCAACCTCTGGCAGCAACTATTTTACTTTGTCTCTGTATTTGACCATTTTAGGTACCTCCTACAATATTTGTCCTTTCTTGTGTGCCTTATTTTACTTAGTATGATATCTTCAAAGTTTATACTGTAGTATGTTCATTGAGTTTTTAAAAGTTTCGTGTACTATATATTTTTTACTTCTAGAAGTTTCATTTCATTCCTTTTTAAGACTCTCTTTTTTTGTAGTCCTATTCCTTTTTATTTTTTAATCCTTACTGGAGGATGTAATTATTAATTGTAGAGAGATGAAGGGAGAGAAAGAAAGAGGGGAAAAAAGAAAGGAAGGAAGAGAGCCAGGGAGGGAGAGAGGGAGAGAGGGAGGAAGGAAGACAGGAAGACCGGCTGCCTCCCATGCACAGTGAAAGGAAATTAATTAGAAGGTGGCCGGTGGGGTGGGACTGGGCAAGACGGTCTGCACATGCCCTGGAGCCAACTTCCTGCCGTCCATCTTAGTGTCTGCAGAGTGAGTGGGGTCCCTTGGCTTGGCCTGTGTCCCTCTGGCAGGTGGTGTCCCTTGGCTTGGCCTGTGGGGATCAGGTGAAACTGGCTCTCTTGACATCCCCCACAGGGTTCCGGAGTGCAAGAGGGCTCTCTACAAAGTTGCTGTCTTACAGGGTGTGGAATGCAAATGCAAATGTTCAGTAAACCAGATTCGGGCCAGCAGTGCCCCAGCAACAACATAACCCATTGCAGAAGGTGGAATCATGTGGCCCT